AATCAGTTTCATTATTTCTTTGGAAAGAATAAATTACAAGAAAATATTGAATATAAATAGTTGAGTTAATGGCTTCCCATGCTTCATTTATGACACACTCTTGTATAAAGCTACTGAAATTATTGAAGTGCACAGTGCTGCAGAGACACAACGTTTTCCTTTAATGAGCATTCTCAGCCCTAGTGGATGAGCTTTTGTTCTCTAAGAAACACAGAATTAGTGTATAGCAATGTTTAAATTACTGGATTTCAAAGTATGTTTCATTGGTGCAATCACTTATGATTAGATTGCAGATAGAACCATTGCTGAATTACATCCAACTTAAAAGTCTGTTTCTTATGGAATACAAAGTAGAAAGTGCTCTCTGTGAATGCTGGAAAAGCCATATTCTTGTATAACTGCACAGTTTTAATCCCCTGGGTGTTTATTATAGTTTCTGTCAGTTGACTTAAGGCAATTGATAAGGCAATCATCAAACATTAATGTTAATCCAAAGAAATTCTGTACTAATGTGACATTAATTAATGCTCATTTATATGATATTACCCTTACATGCATCCTGTCTGTAGTGGTGGAACAGTGTCCACTGCTAAGAGTGTATTAGAGCTTTAATGTAACAATGCTGGGTGTAGTGAGTTCTTTGTTGCAGGTTCATTTGCTGTTACACAGCAGGCACCTCTTTGTACTTAACCATCAAAAGAGACAGTTTTAAGAATGAGCTATTTACATACAAAATTGATATTGATCACGTAGAATATAAGCTCCATGCCATGTGAGGTTTTCACAGCTGTACACACTGCACTTCAGCTTACATAAAAATTCTTGGCAAGGTTCTAGTGGTAAAATGTTAATTTTTGGGTGTTCATTAAAATAACATTAATCATGAACTCTGATTATGTTCACCTTAATTTATTCTGAAACTTTAAAATTAATCAGATTCCATAATTAAGTAGAGCAGGAAAATGAAATTTAGCCTTGTTACTTTATAATAGAGCTATTATTTCCCTGAAATGTTAGATTTTTTTTTTAGGGATTTAATGAACATCTGCTTTTAAATATGGATCACACAGTCCAAGTTGTATATAATAGAGTTTTGTGTGTATCTTTCTATGTTGAAAAGTGTTTGGGATGCTTTGGGAGAAGCAGGCTTATTGTTTTATTTACTATTGTGATGGAATTGAGAAACCTGGCAAAAAAATAAATTCTCCTTTCTGCTGAGCTGCATCTTGATTTTAAGTCCCCTCAGCGCCTCCCCCCGACCCCAGGGGAAATCTGGTAATTAATGCCACAGGGTGTCAGGTAATGTCTGCACTTGAGGTGACTGCATGGCTGCTGTTGGTGCTACCTGGCAGTGGTCAAGCTGTCATTATCAATTATGGGATTTCTGTGTCGAAACTGGAAATGGTTAATTTCCACTAGAACGAAGAGAAGAGGCAACTCTTCTTGTCAAAGTAGATTTACTTTCTGCAGCAGCTGTGAATTTTACCAGTTTCTGAGGCTCAAAGAAGCTGCGTACATGTTTGGAGAGGGAGATACCACACTTGGCTCAGTAAGTCTCTGACCCACAAATCGTTGGGATCTGTAGGGGCTTTCTGGGGAGATGCTGCTGTGTGCCTACCCCAATCTTGGGTTCTTTGGGCTTCGTCTCTCAGCTGCTGTTTGAGACAGATCATCAAGCCTAGGTGGACCTGTGCTCTGACCAAGTCAAACCATTATTATATTCAGCCTTTACTGGTAAGATTTACTTTCAGGAAGACCAGGTCCCTGCGACCCAGGCAAAGCTCCAGAGCAAAAAGACCTTTCCCTCAGGAGAGCAGGATTGGGCTGGAGAACATGAACTAAGCTGTTCTTTTTCAATGCTCAACAGATCCTTTTTGCTAGACCAGCTGGGAACTGAATACAGCTGCTGGTGTCTGACACGATACCTGATCATGTAATTTGTTTGCATTAACCATCTTTGAGCATCTTCATTGCTAATAAAGCAATTTCCAGAATTTGTTCCATTGACACTGGATTTGTGAATTTGTTTTTCAGGTTGTGGTGTTGACCTTGCAGGTTTTTTTTTTTTTTTTTTTTACCATTCATGTTTTGCTTTTTGTACAATTTCTCTTTTCCTGTCAAATCCAAAGCTTAGAAATAACAGTAGTAGATGATAAATGCCTAGAGAGAGGGAGAGAGAGAAAGCGAGGGACTGTCAGTAAAGCAAGTTAGTACACAACTTCTGAGGCTGCCGTTTTCCATTTGTTGTGTGTTGCAAAGTGATATATGCAACGTACCTCTGAAAATTGTGTATATGTCTGACATTTTGGGGTTTTTTTGTTTTTTGTGGTAGCTCTAAGGACCCCTGAGAATAGTTTGTACTACAAGGACACTTTAAGGGAAGCAGTCATTTGCTTCCTTCGCTAGATGTTATTTTGGAGTTTGTTTTTGTTTGAGTTTGTTTTTTTTTTTTTTTTTTAACCTGTCTTGAGACGTGCAGGAATTTTTCAAATTAATCATGAATCTTCCTATGTACCACCTTCTCTAGACAGGACCTCCATTCAGATACTTGGGCTTGGTTTCCTAATGGGTGTTTCAGCCCTGTGCATGGCTGTACCTCCTGGTGCACTGATGGATGGTGTGAATTGTTGCTTGTAGCTAGATTTATTTTTAAAATTGTCTGGATTTTTTTATTGCTAGAGGTTATACTCTCTATCAGTTTATACTTTGCAAGTGTAATGAATTCACCCAGCTTTTTCTTGGTGAAAAGATCTACCAGGGTCTGATGGTGTCATTTAACTGTGAGACAGAGATTGATGCTGTTGGCTGCTTCTATTTCTGGTTTATGGATCTTTATTGCAAAGGGAAGTGATACATGAAAGTGACCCCCTGTTAATAAATATTTGAACCCATACACTCAGCCTACTTTTTTCTTGCTAACTTAGCTTAGAAGGCTGGGGCTTTGTTAGGTGATAGGTTTTTGGTTTGTCCACGTTAACTACAGCAATTGGTATTTCTATGCACTCAGCACTCACAAGAATATGTTGGAAAGCAGGTGTACACTCACTAACACAGGCATTTAGGAATGAGTTCTTGTTTGGATTAGCTTAACTTAGATTTTTTTTCATGATGATCTTTTAGAGAAGATACCTACCTCCCATCTGGCTTTCTTGAGGACATCTACCTTGTTGAGAATAGCAGGTTTCAGATTGATGTAGCCCACTGAAAAAATGGCATCCAGTTCATATATACAGAAATGTATGTTTTAACAGCCTAGGTTTGGTGTGAACAGGTATTCCTCTGCTGCCTTGGCCCCTGGGATATTGTATCCATCTTTCAGAGCACCAGAAGGGGTTACAGAGAGCCTGGCATTTTGTATCATAGAATCATAGAATCAACTGGGTTGGAAAGGACCTGTGAGATCATCAAGGCCAGCCCTTGATCCACTACCACCACAGTTACTAGACCATGGCAGTAAGTGTCACATCCAGTCTCTTCTTAAAATCCTCCAAGGACAGAGAATCCACCACCTCCCTTGGCAGCCCATTCCAATGTCTGATTACCTTTCTGCAAAGAATTTCTTCCTCATATCTAACCTAAACCTCCTCTGGCAGAGCTTGAGACCATTGTCTTACTTGACCCCTTGTCTTACTGATAGTTGCCTGGGAGAAGAGACCAACCTCCACCTGGCTACAACCTCCTTTCAAGTAGTTGTAGAGAGTGATAAGGTCTCCCCTGAGCCTCCTTTTCTCCAGACTAAACAACCCCAGCTCCCTCAGCTTCTCCTCATAGGACTTGTGCTCCAGTCCCTTCCCCAGCCTGATTGCTCTTCTCTGGACCTGCTCCAGTACCTCAGTGTCCTTCCTGAACTGAGGGATCCAGAACTGGACACAGCACTCCAGGTGTGGCCTCACCAGCGCTGAGTCCAAGGAAAGAATCAGTGCCCTTCTCCTGCTGCCACACTGTTCTGATACAGGCCAGGATGCCATTGGCCTTCTTGGCCACCTGGGCATACTGTGGCTCATGTTCAGCTTCTATTCCTGGGAAGCTGATTGTAAGAGTGTAACAGATGACTGAGGTGCAGAATCACTGCTACTTCTGTGACCCTGCCTGGTGGTGTGTTGGTCTGGGACTGCAAGTCTTGGGATTCATCACTGTGGAAAAGAGAAGGAGAAATATTCGTGTGTATGTGAATATCTCCTCAGTTGCGCTTCTTTAACCAGATACATCAAAAAGGTTTTATTCTCAGCATAAGAAGTTGTTTTTTAGTGTTAGCCAAAATTCACTGGTGTCTAACATTGGAAATACTCGTGTTGTATAGTTGTACAGTTCTCCAGAAATCACAAATACATGGAACCACTGAACACTTGGGCATTTTGACTAACTGCGTCAGTGCCAGGACCTTGTTCCCACACTGTAAATACTTGAGGGCAGTGGGCCAAGGTAAATAATAGGAATTACAGAGTAAGAGTAACTGAGATGATCTTTTGGGAGCAGAGTGTTTGATCCTAACAGCTCAGACCTACTGAGCCAGAATGCCTAAACATTAAACCCCAAAATGAACCGTGGAAGGATGCAGTTGACTTCTTCCTGCCAGAGTGACACCTGCCTTTTTGGTTTCAGTGTACCATTACCAAAATGGATTTTCAAACTGTGGGTAGTAAAATTCCAGCACTGTAGAGGGCGACCACAAATTCAAGAACCCCTAAGAAACTGAAGTGTGGAACTTCAAGATGAGTGTTTAAAAGACAAGTGATGTTTTGAATAGCAAATAATTTATGCAAAATATGTTTAAAAATCTAAGGTGCTAAATAAATAACCAATACAATGTATTCTGTTTTGACACTTTGTTTCCACTTGAAAGATAGTGAATGCAGACTGATTTGTTAACATTTTTTTGAAGCTATTTTTCATTCTATTCACTTTCTTTTGTGCAACCAGTTTGACTGTAATTTTAAATTTCAGTCTTCTGCTTTGAAGCTACATGAAAATATGTTGGGATAAACATCCAGAAAAATAGATTTGTGGTTATATAATTTCTCTTTATTATAAAAAAGTTACCTCACCATATGAAATGTTTTTCTCCTATATTTTGGAAGGCTCATGTTCCCTTTTGTATTTCACCAAATCGGCATGATATAATGTGTGCCTAATTTCTGTAATCTTTTCTGATTACAACATTATAAAAGTTACTCTCATACAGTATTGAGAAGTCTTGAGGGTTTAAAACCAGAAGAATGGGATATAAGACTGCTTTGATCCAGATATTAAATTATATACAAAAAGGTAATGTAGTAGTTGGTAGAGACTTAATACTAAATTGATTTTTTTTATTATTTAAAGGTTTTGGTGTTTTTTTTTTTTTTCTTAACTTGCTGTATCATAATGCTAAGGACCTATTAACCTTTACCATTTGTTCCAAATTACTGTATTTTTCAGGAAGTAGATGTTTCTTACTTTTAAGTAATACTTTACGTTCTCAGATTAGTGTAAGGGCTTGTTTCTGTTGCCACTTCAGTCAGCAGCTGTCTGTGGCATAAGTAGATTTTAGACCCATTTGTCTTTAAAAGGAAGTGCAAGTGCCTAATCTGGCAGACTCTACTTTCACAGTAGATTTTGTAGCTGCTTATTGAAATTTCCTGCCCATATTGTCTTGCAGAACACTGAGACTTTACAAAACATCACCAGCCCTGGCTAACAGTTGCCTACATAAACTTCCTTGTTAAAATGTATTGATACATTTTTTTGTGATTTAGAAGTCAGACTGTATTTCAAGGCAACAGGTAGAATTTAATTTTTTTTTAAAAAATTATTATTTCTAGGAAAACTTGGTTATATGTTTTAAGAATTTCTTAGAAGTGAATAGTTAAACCCTTCCTCTGGAACCAGTAGATAAAATTCTACACATTAAACACTGTAAAAATGGTGCATATTCTGCAAAGGACAGAATTTTAGGTTTAAGTTTTCTGGGCACAAAAGCAGTAACAAATTGGTCCTACAAAACAGAGTAACCGAATAACACAAGAAATAACTTGTTAATTTGAAACTTTAGAAACAGAAGCTTGTAAAATAAGATGTAATTAAATTATGACACTGTACATACCAGCTGTTCTTGGTAATTGAAACTTTACAATATGAAAAATACATTACATCTGTACAGTTTATACAGGTAGGTAGGATGAGTTTTGAAAAAGGTTCACTTCAAGGGTCATACTCTGAAGTCAAAAAATACTGCACAACTTAACTAATTACAAATTGTAGACTTGAAACAATTAATCTTTGTGATTTTTTTTTAATTTGAACAGGAATATTAGAATCCATAGTGTTATGTCTTCTCACTTCTGTCCATAATGTTACATAGAATTTGGTTGCAGCCTCTGCTACAGGAAAAAAACCCCAACAAAAAAACCCACCCCAAACTCCAACCCCCATTTAAGCCAGCTGCTGACTGTGTTCCTTGATTCGTGCTGCTGTTGTTATTGTGCTCAGATCCAGATCAGTCTCTAGGTGTGTTTCCACTGTTTCTTCCTGGTTATTTGAGTCATTGGGCCTGTGAGCCAGCAGTTCATGATGTACTCCACAGTAACTGAGCGTGGGCTGATCATAGGCAAGAAATGTTGACACATTCATAGACAATGGTATCTGAGGGAAAAACAAAGACGAAAAAACAGCCAGTTACCAGTAAGACATAATCCAGTTGTACTAGCCTGTATTTGGTGTTGATAAACCAGACTGTCTGCATGTAAAAAACAAAAAAAGTTGTCTTCCTTTTCTCAACTTTTCTCTATCCCTCTAACCCCTCCTCTCCACCCAAACCCTGGTCTTTAAAACCCTGTTTTAAAGCTGACCTCTGCCACTTTTGCTCTTGTGACCCAGGGCTTATTTGTGCTTGAATGTGTTAGTGAGGATTAAGATGTGATTGAACTTAAATTATCTTTAGTGTGTGATTAGCCTCAGCTAAAATGAACCTATCAGGAAATATTTCAAATGAAATATGAGTGTCTGTTGCAGTTTAAGAGTGGCTAGTGGATCTTGCTGGAGTATGTCAGTGGGTGTGATACCTTTGGTCTGCTTGGGGATACAAATGAGATGGTTCCTATTATTTAGAGCATAAGCATCAAGTTACATTTACAGTTTTCAATAAATACGGTCCAATATTCTGTTAGACTGTTATCGTGTGGTACCTCTGGAAGCTTTCCTGTTGCAGGTTTAATTCAAATGCTTCAGTTGAAAAGTATAATAATTTTTTTTTTTACTAATTCCTGGGGGATTTTGAATGCACTTCAGCATAGTATTACCTACAGTACACTGTAGAATCAGAGATGAAATTAATACAGATTTTGAAGTGTAGATATTTGTACATTTAAGCTCCAAATATATTTTCTAAGCTAATTTCATGGGCATGGCATGGTATTGGATGGAGTAACCACAGAAATGGATTACTTCTGGAGGCTACAATGCAGTGAACATGTGCTCTGTCCTGCAGACAGGGGTGTGTGTGCACCTTACTGATTGGTCACATTCTCCATAGCCTTTTCTCGTATATTTTTCATGTTATGTGGCATTTTCCTTAGGCTGGTAAAGTTTACATTCTGAAAAGAAAATAGCTAATGTGGTTCTCCTTTGCTGTGTTTTGAAGTGATGTGTGAAGTCATGTTGGCAATTCTACCTCAGTCTGGGCAAATATGAGCCAGGAATGATTGCAGTCTACAGCAGAGCCTGGGCTGGTTCTCCTCTAACCAGGTTATTCCTGTAGAGTGCAAAATCAGCACCTTTTAGAAAATTACCAATGTGCAGACCTGTCATAAAACCTTACAGATAGTTTCTTCTGACCTGCTCCTTTTTTCTCCTGCTGAATCTTATTCCCCTCCTTAAATGTGTCCCCTTCTGTCTCTGTTTCCTGGAATGGTCAGGATCTGATTATCTGTTTCTTTTTAGTGTATTTGGGGAAGGAGACTTCAACCCTCCTGGCATGGCAATTAAACAAGGAACATCCCTATTCGTATCTTCTCCTTTGCAGCTTTCCTTCCTCTTTCCTTCTGGTAGTGAGATGTCTCAATAATAAATTCTAGTTCTATAAACCTCCTGTTCTTTCAGCTTATTCAAATAAGTGCTATCACAACATTTTTAATGATAGCTCTCCTCTTTGACAGCGCTTCTGGAGTCAAAATCACTGCATTGTGTAATTAATAATGATGTGTGAATTTCATATTGTTTGGAGTTCAGGTTCAGATGAGCATCAAAGAACCCCAGCTTATCTCAGATTTACAGTTCAGAAGCCTTCAAATTGCAGTTTCTATTCAAGGAAGCTGCATTTCATTGCATAGTATTAAATTTCTGTACAGTGAGGGGGGAAGTTCCAACAGCCCTGTCTTTTCAGTGAGAAAGTTTAAAACTCCAAACTTATTTTACACAGAAAGCATAGCTAAAAGTTTATATTTACAAAACTGTATAACAACCCCGATTTTTTAAAAAAATAATTCTGTTCAGTCCTGAAAAGAATGTAGCCCATTTTCCCAGTGTTTTAAAGTTGATTTATTTGCATTTCTGTTTCGATCGTCACTGGGAGTTGAAAAGTTGCCACAGATTAAAAAAGAGAGCTTTTTTTTTTTTTTTTTTAAGAGAAAAAAAAACGGCAGAGAGATAATTTGATTCTGGTTTCTCTGTAGCAGTTACAGAGATCTCTGCAGGAAATGGGTTCTTTTATCCAGCCTGTAGAAGTGTATTTACTGCTAAACAGATGTGAACTGCTTGGGGAGGGCAATGCTTGGAGCTACAGATGAGTATCTCAGCAGTCAGCAAAGATGGGAAAGGTTCTTGCAAAGGAGTAGGGAGTTTATTAAGCTTCTAGTGTTGCGGCTGTGTTCTTATCTGATTACTTGATTACTTGACCTTCATGAAAAACAGCTTTTTTTTTTTTTTTTTTCTTCTTCTGAGTGTATTATACTTAGAGTCAGAGGCAATATTTTCAGCCTAAGGATTTTGCTATTTTGTTAAATTTCATGGACGTGAGGTGTTCCAACCTCCTGGGGGGATTTTGAGAGTCAGCCCCAGAATCCTGAAAATGAAAGCTTGGATAATTAAGGCATAGGAGCCCAGCCATGGATTTGGAGGGGCTTGAGAATGTAGGCATGGAAAGTTAGGATAGGGCAATGGAATATTACCATGGGATGACAGCAATAAGGGCTGAAAAGAGAGAAGGAGGAATGAAAATAAGTAAACCAGGCTGCACACTGAATAGAATCAAATGATCTGAAGGATAAAATCAATAGGAGTGATGGAGCTGTGATATATCATTCTGAAAATGTTCAGATTACAGTGTAATGACAGTACCATATATAATATAGCATGGGAATATAATATATCAGCATATGGTCAACATACGAGAGTTAAATTTATTTCACACAGAAGTTTTGTGGTTGTTTTCAATAAAAAAAATAAGGAACAAGCCCTTGTATTATATAACAGGGGATCATACAAGTGTTATTGGCATGAATCAAAATGAAATGCTTCATTCATGACCATGGGAAGAATCCTGTTACTGCAAATAAACCTCAAAACAAACCTGATACTTTACCATCCATTAGTTTGTGACTTTTTTTTTTCTTATGGAGTCTTAGGACAGGACTGTAGTAAGATTGTTCTCTACCTACACCTAGATCTACTGCCCCTGCACCCCTGCATTTAAATTATCTCTGTGATTTAGGCAGGTCTTGCATGTGATATGTATCTTATTTTCTCTCTAGAAGGCCCTGGAGCTGTCTGATAGGTTTTTATGAAAAGAAAGCACCTGTCTGATTATCATCTTGTTCCATTTCTTTCTTTGTCTGCTTCTTCAAGCATGTATTTACTTAAAAATGCTGTGCTGTGAAACAGGGGAGATAATTAAACGTCTGTTAAAGGAATGGATAAACCTGCTATAACCAGTTTTTGATGGTTGTGGATTTACAGTTCAGCTCCTTTCTAGCTCTTCTAGCAAAATGTAACTCAGTCATGGGGGTAAAGTTACCAGAAGTAGCTTTTTGTTGGTGGTGGTATTTGCACACACTGTGAGGAGGCCACACCAGAAGGCAACCAGTGCCTTGGATTGAACTGTTGTCCCTTCCAACTGCTGAAAAGGGATGGCTGCAGAGATGGCTACTCACTTCTAGAGAACTCAGTTTTCCTTCAAACTTCTAAATTCTGAGGTGGCTGTTCTTTTGTGTTTGCACATTTCAACCTCTCAAAGTCCAAATTCTAAAGGCCTGGCAAAGGGCAATATGTTGTTAGATCAGCTGGTGAGAACTCGGGCATGAAATGTCACAAGGACTGGGTATTAACTCACCCAGCTGTCCTTGAGAATGGCAGGGAGGAGTTAAATGCAAGGGGAAAGATGTTTTTAAGCTTTTTCCTGCTTCTCTCAAACTGATTTTCTACTCAGTTCAAGCTGTAATAAAAAGTTACCAAAGGTGTAAGCAGCAAGGATAGCTTTCATTGAACAGAAGAACTGTTCTTCACACAAACATTAAGTTAATGCCCTCCTGGTGAGGGAGAATTGTGTTTTTTGTTCAAAGGGCACGTCTGTCCAGGTGTTGTACATAATTCCAACACTCAAGAACTCTTGCTTTTCTTCTGCTCCACAGTAGTGATATGTTTTGTGTGCTACACAGTAATGATACATTTCATGTGCTCTGCTCGGGTTTGGTCATTTTTCTATTTCAGCTTGTTCATCTCTGGTTACCTTTGGGGTCCCGCATTCTACATTCCCATGTGGAAATAGTGCAAATGAATCCAAACAGGTGTTACTGGGTATCTGTTTTGTGCCCAGCCTTCACTGGTGTGTCCAACTAAACGTGTGTAGTAACTGCACATTCCTTGTAACAGAGAAAGACAAGAGTGAGGAAGCAAAGGGCAGGTGAAAGGCTTGAGCCACATCTGTGTTTTAAGCCTTTTAAACTGTGGATTCTGCCACTCTCAATGTGAGGACCAGTCGTCTCCATGGTGATATAAGGCACAAAAAAGAGCTCCTGTTTCTAGACTTGTTTTAGTGGCTGAATGCCCTAGGTTTACATGAATACTGAAAAAGGAAAAACTTTAGTAAGTGCGTGATTGGAATTATAATCCATCAGTAATAGCATTGCTATCTGTTCAATGTTGAACATGAATTTTTAGTAATTTATGATACAGGACAGGAGGGTGGTGTTAAAAAGTAAAAATTGCCTTGAAAAACAGAGGCCAGAACTTTGGAACCTTTGCTTTGCGTGTTGGACACCTAAAGAATAAGCTGGTATTTTCTGAGGGATGGGACAGAATACAGAGAGTATTAAACTGCTGCTGGGTTCCGTGAGGAAACCAGGCAAAATTTTTTTAGTTATGTCAATGTAGATTTGGTTATCTTAATTTTAGTAGAAGAAAATCTTTTAGCAAGTTGAATATGCTAATTTTGACAGTGACCTTTACCAGTTTTGGAAATGCCAAAGTGAAGAGCTGCTAACAACTGCTACAGAATATCACCCCTTTCTTATTTTTAAGAAGAAGATAAGGAAGAAGAGAAAGCAGAATTAAAAGGTTTTGTTTTTCATTCTCATTCAGTTCATTGGGGTTCAGGCTAAGACAGAGTGAGCTGTGGTTTCCTAGTTGCTGGCCTTTTTGTTCTTGCATGT